GACCGCCGCCCCCTTGGGTTCTTTGGCATGAGGTTACGTAGCCAGGAGGGGTGTGCAAAGAGCTGGGCCGGTGTCAGCCCCAGCCTGGCGTCCGGGCGGGCCGGGGGCAGCGGTGGGAGACGGGTCAGCGCAGCCACGAGCGACCCGGGATGGGGAACCGAACCCGGTATGAGCACAGGGAGATGGGGCAGCGTCCAGCACTGGCACCCAGCACCGTGGAAGGAAGGGGGGCCCTCGTCTATATACAAATTGTTATAAAATCCTAACACGTACTACCGATAGAACATAAAACCAGGAGTAGGGCTGTGGCAGGGTACTGGCAGTCACCACTGCAGCCCAGGTGAAGTGACCCAGGCCACAGCCACACGTCAGTGTTCTTCCTCATGCAGCCGGTGTCCTTCGAAGTCCCTGGCCAAGGCCGAAGGAGGTGTCTCGGTGGAAGTGTTCCTCCTCCCCGGCCGATGGCTGGAGCAGCAAAGGGCTGCTGCTGTGAGCAATGTAAACATAGTCCTATGGGATGGGGTCCAGGTTAATTAGGAAAGTGTGATCCCATTCCAGGCTGGCTTGATGGCTTTTGGGATGCTACTGCTGGAAGAGTATGGCCACATTAAGGGTTTAGTGGCTGCTCTTGCCTGCAAAGAACACGGCAGATGCTTTTATATTGATAGCAACTGAAGCTGGGGCTGCTGGAACTGGAGAGTAGCAAACTTTGTCACTTGTGACAGACACCTGTTTTGTCAGATGCTGAGCCTGAAAGGAAGCCAGGAATAGCAGAGGGAACCCTCTGTGTGGCTGCTGGAGGTCAGGGTGATGAAAGGGAAGCATGAAGGATACAAGCACCCCCCTCATCTGAAGGAGTTGGAGGAAGACGTACAGCTGAAGAAGTCCTGGCTGATGTGGCGTGGGTAGCCCTCTAGCACTTTCACCTGGACTGGATCGAACTTCCAGTAATCTCGGCCTCTCAGGAAATAGGCAAAGCCTGTGGGTGAGAGAGGAGGGATTAGGAGAGACAGGGCTGGCACAGCTCAGAGCTCTTCACTAGCATTTTGTCTTGTTGACACTCTGCAGCATGTGCAGTGCTAAAAGAGAGCCTGGAAGAGGCAGGAGATGCTGCTACGTTAGTTTCACTTGAACCCAGGTTTTCAGCTTACACTGTTTTAGTTTTGATGGGAGAGTAAGCCGGATTTGATTTTATTTTATATTCTTCGTGGTTTTAAATACACTGTACCCAGGTAGTGGCCCCGCCCTGAGAGGGCAGAGGATGTCTAGGACCTGAATAGGGCCCATGACAGATGGCTGGTGACAACCTGCTGCAGAGCATCTGTTACTGCAGGGGAAGCTGCTCTGGGATTTTGGCTCTGGAAGCAGTGGGGAGCCATTCCACCGCATCCTTTGGGCGGAGAGGGCCAGTCACCGCACCTGTCATTCCAAGCACCCTGGCCATCCTCTGTGTTTCTGTGGCACTGCCGTGCTGTCTGCAGCATGGGGCACATCTGGGAGGACTAGGTAATACCAAAAGCAGCCTGTTCATTCGGGACAGCTGCTTAGGCTGAGGTGTGGGCAGTGTTTCTGCTGTTTTCTCATCACTTTGTTGTGAGCTGTAACAGCTGGGTAGGACTCTGTGACCATTTCTTGGTCAGAAGTTTGAATTCTCTCTATCAGACACTTAATTGTTGATTGTTGCAATTAATAATGACAAAACATCTCACTTTTATGGGGGAAGCCTCAGCTCCCTACCCACTGGAGGGAGCTGCCCCTCTCTCTCTCTCCACTATACAGAATGTTCTGTGGCTGGGAAGTGTCCACTACTACCGAAAGTCTAAATCTGCCCAGTTCTTCTAGCCGGGCAGTGGTGTCAGCCTGAGCACCCACCCCAGAGCAGGCCATGTCCCTGCTGGCACTGACCAAACTCATCCTGAAAAGCGCCATCGATCTCCTGAGGGACGCCGCGCCAGTCGGCCATGGTCCGGGGGTAGATGTTGTCCACCTGGCGAGTGTGAGGGTTGAAGCGCCAGTAGTTGCCTCCACCGAAGATGTAGATCTTGTTCTTCTCAGCCCCCCACACCAGAGCTGCCTGCACAGGGGATGCAGGGAGGCCCAGCTCCACAATCGGGGTGGGACCAGATACCCGTCTCTCACCATCATAAATCCAGTACTGAGAATCTGGCGAGGAGACAGAAAAGGGAGATGAGGGGTCAGAAGCTCTTTGGTGTCAGATAATTCGGCAGTCAACTGCGCAACTGGAGCTGGTGCCTTGGCAGAGCTCCCAGGGAAAGCTGTGCCTGAGAGGCAAAAACCCCACCAGTGTCATGGACACCGTCACTGATGGGTGCCCAAAGTGCCAGCAGCATGAGACGCTGACTTCCCACCTTGATCCAACCTGGAGGGTGTCAGTGGTGGGATGAGGAGGACTGTTCTAGCAGCTGTCTTTTCTCTGTTCATGGAAGTTATACTAAAAGATTTGGCTGGAGGGACCAGCCTCTATCCTGCAAACTCATCTCTTGGAGGAGAATGTATGTGGGCATGCACAGGCACAAAGGGGGCATGCGGCTGTAAAGGAACAAGCTACAGAAACCAGGAAGAAGTTGCCAAGATGAAATAGAGACTGGAAGCATATTTCCAGATTAGATTAAAATGGGAATCTCTGTAATTAGCCTAAGGCATGTAATACTTTCCCCTTATCTCATTTTAACTCATGGCAGGAGCCTGCCAATTTTAGCACTGTAAGTCCTTGTGTGTGGGTCAGGTGCTAAGTAATGTGTTTATGCAGGAACTCTGCCTGCAGAGCCACGTGGTGTGCTTTCTGGTGCTCAGTTTCATGGTGTGCAGATGGGGCACGCACACCCAGGGCAGCTGGGTAGCCACGTCATTTTGCGTTCCCGCTATTAAATTTACACTTGGAAAGAGCATTAAAGAAAACAGTGGAGCTGAAACAGGGGGTGTTGCTGGTCTCGAACTCCAGAGATGGCCAGGAGGAGGTTTGGCCCCCCATGGGTGATTGGGTTTTAATCCCTGTGGTGGCAGGAGGTTGCCTGGCTCTGCACACAGGCTCCCTGTAGGCTCGTTCAGTCTAGGGGTACTACAGAAGCTCCGCATCCAGGTCTCTGAGGAGCAGAGAAGATGCTGTCCATCCCTTGAGCACAGGCTCAGGAGTTTCACAACCTGTGACTGTTTGGGGCTCTCTTCTGGCACAGTGCTTCCCAGGACAGCTGGGGAGATGCAGCAAGTGTTTCCTTCCTCCTCCTCTGCCAGCAGCATTGCCAGGGCAGAGGCTTAAAGCTAACATTTGTGTTCCAGAGGAGAAGACTGGGAGATCATGGATGTGCCTAAAATAAAAGTGACCCCTCCTTCTCTCTTCCCCCCTCAATATCTGCTAAAAAGTTTAAACTAAACAGAGAAGGAAACAAATAACAAGGATCACTGGATTGCTGAGGATGTCCAGAAGGATTTTTCTCTCAGGAACTTGTTGGGTCCTGAATACCCCTCAGTAAAGAAGGTGCATTTCCAAGCCATGTGATCCCAGTACAGCTCTTACCTTGGAAAAACCAGATATTGCCCAGAGGGTCCTCAAAGGTGGCATCAACAGAGCTGGGGATCCCCTGCCAGTGGCGGGAGGCCAGAGCTGGGTAGCCGTCCTGCAGTTTTCCAGCTCGGAGTCGCCACACATAGCGAGACTTGAAGAAGAAGAGCTCCCCTCGGATGGTGGCTGCGGCATCAAAAGCTGTGTTGCAGGCGTCGGGCTGCACAGACTGCCAAAGCACGGCCGGTTAGGTGCTTGGATTCACAGGAGCCCCCCTTGCCCAGGCTGGGTTCAATGGATGAGAAGTTCCTGCGCCTGGGCCTTTACCCCGCACCGCAGTGGCCACCCTCACTTTGAGCCCACAGGAGGGCCATACATCCTCCTGGTGTCTCACCAGCAAAGCCTGCTAACACCCTCTGCTCCTGGCAGTAGAATCTTTTCCTAAATGCTGTTTAAATCCAGGCTGTTCCTAAGGGATGCTGCTCGGAGGAAGACCTCCCAGGCACAGTTAGACAGAAGGAGGTTTCAACAGCAGGATCTCTTGCCCTCTGGCATCTACAGCACTCGCTCCAGGCCCTGGGCAAGCAGCTCCAGGGCTACAAAACTGCATGGGTTGCTAATGCAGCAGTCCTACTTTCAGCCAGTTTTGTTTGGGCACGTGCTGCCCAAAGATCCCCTCCCTGCACAACCCAGGCTGGCTGGCGCTGCCAGCCCTGGGGTCCCGACCTGGGCTCAGCAGCATGTGTGGAAGACAGACACGTATAAGCCTGCTCCTGGCTTCACAGTGAGGACAGTCCCAGCCATGGTGTTAGAGGAGGACACAGACAAGCTGTTGACTCACCTCCACATTGGTGATCTCATTTGTTTCAAAGTCTGGCTGGGGCAGCTCTGCTGACTGAGTTGGGGTTGGGTCAGCATCCAGTTTGGGTTTCCCATAGAGGTACTGGATACCTTGCTTGTCGTCCTCACTCAGGCTTAGCGGGTAGCGGAAGATGTAGAAAGGAGACATTAGTGACTTGGAGACAGCCGTGTGCTGCAGGCCCAGGACGTGGCCAAACTCATGAGCAGCCACTTGCAGGAGGTCAGTGCCTGCAAAAGGAAAAGATGGGAGATGCTTTTGCCTGCTTGTGCGGGGGACGCCTGCCTCCTAGGCTCACCTCTGCCAATTATCAGCCACTGACAATGCACTGAGGTATGTTGTAGGACCCTAACACAAGGAAAGATAAATCTACCTCAACTACGACGCTTGCAGGTTGTTGTTCCCAGGGTTTTCCTGGAGCACTGTGAGTGAATTCGTATGCTCAGGTACTAGCCTGGGCAAGTTGGTAATTTGTAATTCTGTCACCAGGGGCTTCTGTACCCCATCAGCCATCAGGAAGCAAAAGGGTTTCTGTGTGCTTTTGGATAGAAGATATTTGCACAGAAAAAGGAGTCTGGCCCATAGAAGTAGGTGTAGGGGTGGTACGGTTAGTTTTTGTCCACCCAGCCTTGCAGCAGTTGTTGGCTACAGCTGTAGCGTATCAGGTCCCATTTAGATCACATCTGCTATGGAAGATACCCGCGTCAGTGAGGATTAAAACTTGCTAATGGCTGTTGTCACACAGACAGCAGAGGGAGCTCATTGTTGCCTGTGTGTGGACTGTAGCAAGAAGGTGACATTTAGAATAAGTCCATAAAAAATTATCCAGTGTCAAGGCCTGGGCCTTTTTCACCAGACTCAAGTAGATTTATGGGAGTTCAGGTTTTAGGAATACATGACCTCGGAGCATCTAGAAAAGGAGTGCGGGAAAAGTGGATTTCAGTATACTAAAATGTGTCATTTGGCAGGTGTTATGTAGCTTCCAATGGATCCTTTTTGAAGCTGATACATTTCAGGGAAAGCTGGAGGAGAGGCATATTAAGGAGCGAAGCTTGTGAGCAGGGATGTTTGTTGACAAGTCCCAGCGTATTCATTCACTTGCGTTCAGCCAGAAATCCTCCAAGCTATTGCCCAAGCGATGAGAAAGGCAGGGATGTGAGTCAGCCAGCCTGGCTGCTTCAAGCAGGAATTCCCTGCTGGCTCCAGGGGAGCAGGTCACTTCTCAGCACGGGGACGGGATGGGAAGGGACAGGGGGATGCAGCTGGGAGGAACGCCTGGGAAGGGCGGAGGGGAAGGTGACCCCGTCTTCCTCCACTGGTCAGCTTTATGTTGAAGTGATGAATTTACACAGCACTGACCCAATTAAATCAACGCATCTAGGTCAGCTGAGAAAGTGGGATTTCTATGTCAGTGATTTATTACAAACTTTCAGACACTTGTGTTTAGCTTGGCAGGCTCCTCACTCGGTGCTTTCCAGTGTTGGCAGATCGGTTGTGCTATTGTCAGGTTCTCCGGGGGAGGTGAACAACAGCACGCCTGAAGGAGCTGTGCTGGGGGGCCATCGCTGTGCCCCTTGCAGAAGATCCTCCACGTGGAGTCCTGCTTCCTGCACAGCTCTGGGGTGACCCCAGGGCACACCTTGACCCTCCTTATATTTCTCCTCTCCCATCTGTAAAATGAGGCTAAGGATTTCCCCGTCTCACTGAGAGCTGAGGCAAGGATTTATCCATGTTTATATTGTAAAGCTCTTTTCAGCATATTAAATGGCAATTAGCTGCAAAGAGCTTTTACAACATTTGTTCATGAAAGGCGTAGGGGGAAAAAAGGCCGTAGAATAGGGCTGGATTCTGATGGGAACTGGCATCTATTTTCAGTTCCTGGTTTGACACTGTCTTTGTGGAAGAATGTAGGAAATTCTTCAACAACACAGGCAGCCCCAACGGGGGGTGAAAAAGGACAGAGCTCACCCTTCCCTAAGGAGTAGAAACACTTCTCCAGAAAGATCTGGTGCTCTGTGGTTCTTGTTTCAGGTCAGCATGAATAGGGTCGGAGACATAGCGGTCCTGTGCCCCGTGCAGAGTCTGGCATACAACTGGCAATAAAGTGGACTTTGGGGGAGCCCATCCCTGAACATCAACATGGACAAAATGTTTGGGAAACCCCAGAGAGGCAGGGGTTTAACTTGGGCTTTGTGATTGCGGCTTTGTCCCTATAGATAAACCGGGAAGGAGGAGGAGGGGCTGACCTGGGTTAATTTTGGTGAGGCTTGCAGAAACTGAAGCTTTGGGCACTGATCCAGATGGTCCCAGGCGGTACTGCAGTATCTCATGAGATACTGTGACACCATACCCTGAGTGCCGGAGCAGAGAGCTACCAGCTTGGATCTATTATTAGCAAAATGAAAAAAAAAAGAAAGAAAAAAAAAAGAGTCTTGATTTGATGTGACGTTGTTTATGGTCAGAGCATTCCCAGGCCACCGGGGCAGAGCTGGAGCCCGGGTGGTTTCCCTTTATGGACTTGTTTGAGGGCAGGCAGTGCACGGTGCGTGCAGGGACTGGGGCTCAGGCTGTCCTTTGGAAGACAACTGTGTCACCCAGTGCTTGAGCCTCAGTTTTCCTTCATCCCTTCCCTGCTTTATTTCTAATGGCACCTGCCAATGCTGGGTGCAATTCCCAAGTGGCTGGGCACCTGGCTGGGCAGAGGAGCCGTCTCTCTCGAATGCGTCCCTCTTGCTCCCTCCGCACAGGGGAAGCCCACTGGGAAACCAGGTTCCTGGTGCTGGACACAGGTTTCGCTGTGGCTGAAAGATGACAAGAAAAGACCGGAATACTACCAGTAGGGTTGGAAGTGGCAGGAGATGACAATGCACACCACAAAAATGATTGTGGCCTCTCGGTTTTACAGGGTCCCTGTTCACAGCGCAACTGAGTTATTTCCAAGTGCCCTGATAAGCATCCTGGAGGGCCCACAGCTCCCCCGAAACAGTACCATACCCAGGTTGTTCCCAATGGTCCAGGTCTCGTCATAGTCAAAATGGACATCTCCCTCCCGGTGCGTCTTGGGGAAAAACGCATGTGCCAGGATCCCTCCGGGCCCGTCGAAAGGCAAGTTATCTCCGTGCCAGTACCTGGAGGGAAGACACATCACACCTCAGACAAATGGCCACATGCCTCCAGTGAACAGCATCATATGGCCAAAGGTGGGGAGCCACTGTGAGGGGACAGCAGCTCTCACTCCTGTCCCAAGTTCATCCCACCAGTCTGGATCGATTGTTTTGAGCCCTTCGGATTGCCACAAACTCAGTTCTGCATCAGGGCGCTGAGGAAGCAGAGCTCGGTCACAGCAAGCACTGGGGAGTTCATATGTTTTCTCAGCAATGTCTCTCTCCTCCCTGCATTCAGCTCCCAGACCAAAGCTGACCATGGAGCCTAAACAATTAAGGAGGTGACTCCTTGAGCCAAGATTAAGTTGACATAGCTGAGCAGTGGGGGGATGCAGAGGGGCAGCTGGCAGCGAATCCAGCCAAACCCTCAGATCCTCACTCAATCCAAGCCCACTGTTGATTATTGAAGGAAACCCATGAGAGACGTGGCCACTTCAGAGAGCTGGGGGAGGCACCAGCAAAGAGACAGCATGCAAATCGCATCACTGCTTGGACGGTCTCCACTGCCTTTATTAGTTTTGTGCAAACATGTAGCAGAGGGAAGTCTTTGCCCCCGTGCGTATTTTGCCAAAAGTGAATTTTAGGCCAGGAGCCAAGATTCATTTAACCAAGAAACTATATTTGTCTTTGGGCAGACAGTTACGTCGTTCAGTCAAGGGACAGGATGGAGGACCTGAAGACGGAAAATCAAAACAAACGCTTAGGAAAACAGCCTGTGGGCAGAGAAACGTAAATGTACCAAGAAAATTAATGAATGATCAGTAACCGTACTGTGCACAGCCAGCATGAAACAGCTGCACTTAGACCAAGCAGCCCACAACTGAAAAAAAAAAAGAAAGAATAAAAAAAATCCCAGTGTCTGAAAGCAGAAATATGAGCCTCCACTTAAGCGCCTAAGTTGCGTGCTGGCAGCTCTCTGCTCTGGTTAGAGGCTTGGGGTCTTGCCTGCAAGGCTGCTGCTGTGTCTGGGAGGAGGGTGCTGCTGCCCACCGTGCTCACCTTGTGAAATCGATGACGATGTCAGCCCGTCCCTCCTGCACCTCAGTGAAGGTTAGCGGGGTCACATCACTCCAGACTTTCAAAGCTTCCTCGATGGTCCTTCTCACTTTAGCTTTCACAAGTTGCCACGGGAACCTGATAATTCTGAAAAGCAACAGACACTGGATGAGGAGAGCATCAGCTGCTGTCCCATGGACACTGCTGTCATGAACACACTAGCTGTAGGCTCAACATCACTAGGGTTCCCCTCTCTCTCAGCACCAGAACATCTCCAATCCATACAAGCACTGCTCCAGCACCCTCTTCCAAGGAACATGTGCAAGCAGATAAATCCCGTCAGTGGTGAAACCCTTTGGCTGGTGGGCCCAGAGGTGAGCTCCCCGGAGAGCTTTGCGGATCTGTGTTTTTCTGGAGTGCAGTGCTGCAGCATTTCCAGGTCTGTCCCCCATGAGTCCGCCCCCACAGAGGTGCCTGGGAGTGGTGTGATGTGATTTCTCCTCGTCAGTCTCTGCGGGTTTTGTCCCTGGAAACCTGGGCTTGCTGAGAGCAGCTGCTGCCTCTTCTGCCCTCCTATAACATAAGCAGACTGTAAGGTCTGTGCAGAGGGAGCTTGCTTTCCCTTCCCCTAACTGTGTTGGCACGTGTTCATCTGCTGTGTTTCTTTAACACTGTTGATCAAAAAAAAAAAAAAAGGAAGAAGCCTTTCTGTTATCTATAGCCTCCTAATGCTATGAGGAACTGTCTCCCGCACTTAATTAAACAAAAGATGATTTACATGCTGTCAAAGTCCATACGAGTGTGCTCACCTCTCCACTCATGGCCCTGTGGGCAACTGGGGAGGCAACACAATCCTCCCACAAGCCTGCTGAGCAGACTCACAATTCAGAATGTGTGGGGTGATGTGGGCAAAACTTTACACTGAAGTTGTGTTTATGGGAACATCAATAACAGCTGAATAAAAAGATCTTTTTAAAATAAACTGTGAGGTGAGCCCACAGCAGGGTGGCTCGGGGGAGCAAAGGCACAGCAGGAGAGGGCTGGTGGTGGAGGCTCGGCACATGTCAGGACTTGATGTAGGGAAGTGAACGTATGTGCATGAGGTTGTTGATGGGGGACTGACCAAGGGGTGATGCAATGGCTGTGCACAATGTGTTTGGGCAGGGGTGGGTGGACAGCTGTGTTTATAGGAGCGTGTGTGTGAGGGGATGCGGAGGTGCTGGGTACAACCCTGCTGGTGGTTCAGCATGTGGCTCCCCTGCTCCTGGCTGCCCTCCAGCTTTTATGGTCACATCACAGCATGCCGTGCTCCAGGGAATATCAGATTGAGAGGTTTGGGGAGGGAGAAGCAAGCCAGCCTGACTCCCATTTTGGGCCTCTCTTACTTGTAGGTGAGATTGGTCTTGTCCCAGCGCCCGCCGGAGAGGACGAACCGCTTCTGCCGATTCCGCCCATTCTGGCTGTCCGGCAACACTGGGAGGTCCGGCACACCGCACCGGGGTGGGTTCCAGCGTGCCACCTGCTCATCCACGCCCATGGAAAAGCCCTTGGCCGGCACATGGGTCCCCACAGCGTTCATCAAGGAAGAGAGCCAAGGGCTCTGCTCCTTCCAGGTGTGATGCTTTCGAGACATGTCCTAAAAGGGAAAAGCAAAGCCATGACTTCAGTGTCTGGGAAGAGAGGTCCTGATGCAGCATGGTGAACATCTGCCCACAGCAGTCCTGCAGCGGTGAGTTCCACCTCTGCCTGGGGCTGTTCCCCCACTGCTGGGGCACAAACTGCTCCCCATAAACATCCTCTGTTCCCTGGGCTCCACTGCTGCCAGGCTGGGTTGCACCTGGGAGGCACTGTGTCGTGCCATGGCACCTCCTAAGCACTGGGCTATTTTTGGTCGGCTTTTCCTTGGCAACTGGCCGGCAGGAAATGCTTTTGCAAACTGTGGATGAGAACCAGACCCTTCAAGAATGAAACAAATCACTAGGGAGTAAATTCTCCCCCTTTGCCCCACATCCTTTATTCCCTCCTGGCCCTGGGTAGAGGAGATATTAATGGGAGGAAGCCTTTAGCCCCCAGCACACAGATGTGCTCCCCATTGTCACTCCCATGGTGTCCCCTTGCTGTCCTGGCATGGTGAGCAGGCTCTCAGCATGGCTGGGGGATAGCACAAGCTGGAGAGCAGGACACATGGATCTGGGGGGGGGTGACTTAGCCCAGCCCATGGGGCAGAGACCAGCAGTGACTGTCTCTGCAGCCCCTGTCACTTCCTGAGGTCACCAATTCTGCGGAGGGATGGATGGACCATACCCGCTTGCCTCACTGTGCCTGTGATTCTGCTTGGGGATAAGATCACCTTGGCTCTCCCACACTTAGTTGGAAAAGCACTGTTCCTTTTGGCAACATTAATTGGTGCTAATTAGCTGACTTCCATTGGTTTCCTACCTGATAGCAGGACTACGGGGCCACCATGACACATGATTCAAGCATAACCCCCGACCTGCTGTGAGGCATGTGGGTTGAGAAGCGCTTGGTCCCTGTGTCACCATGCTGCACAAGCCAGAGGTCCAAACACAGAATTTTTTGCCTGATTCTGTGCAGGCAAATGTATAGGTGTTTGAGCAGCAGAAGTAGCTGAGATGCAGCAGTGCCGCATCTCGGTTCGGACAGGCAGGCTCCATCCCACAGGGCTCCAGAGTGATGACCTGGGGTTTAGAGATCCCCTTCCTTCCCCTGAAAAGAGCTGCCTTCTTCCAGGCCAGCTCTCCTGGCTGCCCTGCCGGGAACACGAAGGTCAGGATGGCATGATGCCAGGGCTGCCATGATGCCATGTAATCCGCGTGCTGCCGCTGCTCTGTTCCCTACAATGAGCCCATTCATGCGGGCTGGAATGAAGTGTGAAGCCCTTGGCATTAATTCCGCTACGGAGCTCCTGACTCCGTAGCGGCCCCGTGCCTCTGAGCGACACACGGATAGACACAGGAGCCAGGGAGGTCACACAAGGTGCAGTTTAGGTGTCCGGCTTTTCGTGTGTCTGTCACCACTCCAGCCTGCTGGCTTGTCCTCCCCAGCCAGCCAGACACCCTTGGTGGCTGGGCACCTGCCAGCCTTTGCCTTAGAAAGCATCGACCCAATCCTGGTGTCCCAGTGCACTTTCATACACCACAGGAACCGCACCATCAACACATGCAAAGAGAGAAAGCCATTTGACATCCTGAACAGCAAAGCCTACCCAACCCACCAGCCATGGCACTGGGAATCCACCCAGTGCTTTAGTGGAAGGAGGCAGTAGGGGCTGGCTGTCC